TTCAATGCTTTTCCACATAGCTATAGGAAGAGGCCAATAGAAAGATACCCTTGGGCAGTTGAAACACTGAAAAGAGAAATGCACTGAATATATTACGTAGTTGGGTAACGAAACTTTAAGAAAACAACCAAGCTCAGAGAACACCAAGGACTCCACATTGAGAAAAGTACAGCTTTCATCAATGGTGCAACAACCATCAAGTCTGGTGCCCCTGGGATGTCCTAGGAAGAGATCCTGCATCCCAGGGTTAATAGCTCCTTAACTCATGGCTTGCCCTCAGCTGTCCTTGTTGGACAGTCTTGTGGGGAAGTTGTCTTTGTGAGGGAGGTGTCACTGCCAACCACATGAAAGTTGCTCTTCAAACTGTGGGCTGTTTCAAAACATGTAGTCAACCAGAAGGTTTCAACAAACTCATTGTGGCCAAACTGACTGGAGAAAGCAGAATGCAAGGCATCCTTGGGAGGTGACTTCCTTGGGAGCCTAGATGCTAGCTGGACTCCAATCCTGGTTGCATCTTCTGGGCTGAAGTTCAGAGCAAAAAAGAAATAGGACATTGCGGGAGAGCATTTTGAATGCCACATTTACTGGGTAGATTTGCAAAGACATCAGTAGATGCTGGCTGTGAATAGAAGTGATGAGGGAGAGAAGAAAGCGTATTACAAAGCCCTGTGGTTTACTGAGCCAGAAACTGTGGGACCGATGTGGCAATTTCCTCCCTACTCTTGGTTGCTTAAGTCTGAGGGTGGGATGTGGGTGAAGATAGGAGCCCACAATTTGTTTGGACTCCTTGTACATGTCACTCCACCCTATTGTGGAAAAGTGCAATTCAGGGCAAGAGATGTTGTGGTTGCTGAATGGTGAGAATCAAGTTGCAACCAAGTTGAAAAGGTCCAGGATGGGAAAATTAGTCTTGGCCTTTCCTTGTCTCCCCATTGCACATTGCTTCTTTGCACATAAAGGAAATGCCAGTTTAGCTCTGACGTGAACTCCACCCAAGTCATTCAGAATCCAAGCCTTATTTGTGCAAAGTTCACACCTCATATGAATGTTTCTGTGGTGGCACGTCAGAAGAGGGTCTACCTGTCCAGAAAAACAGCCCAAACAAAAATTAGGAAATGATGGAGAACATCTTGACACATTCCTGAGCAGGGCGGGGAGCAACCTGACAAGGTTGCTTATAGTAGATGATTTGGTCCAATACTTACATTTGCTCAGAGAAGAGTATCAACAAAAATGCTGAAGGAGACACTATTCCAACAGAAGAGAATATATGTAGCTCAGGGTTGAATTGTGGAGTCCTTGGTGCTCTCTGAGCTTGGTTGTTTGCTTGCTAAATCCAAAAATGCGAGGGAATTCCTGGAAGTTTGGCATTCAGACAAATCAGCCATCCATAGGCACATAGAGATAAACCACATTTATACACCAATCAAAAGAGACAATAAAAATGTTAAGAAGGAAACAAAAAGACCAGAACACCTCCTCTGCAGCAGCCTACACCCAGATAAACAGGGATTAACACCAGACAAACAATCAAGCAGAAAACAATATCAGGGAATTACCAAGGAGAAAACCACACCCCCCACCAACACTGGCAGGGCAAGCTACTGTATATAAACAGGGAGTCAACCCCACACTCACCAGCCCCGACGGTGTTTCCTATTTTTGTGAT